GGGAGGGGACCGGATGTGGGGATTTGGGGTGTAAGGGGGAGGGGTGGAAAGGTTCCCTGGGGTATCTGTACCCGGGAACTGGCGTGCTGTGTCTAGCCTAGGTCCCCTTTCAAAAATTTTCCAACTTTAACAGAAAGCCCCCAGGGATCTGCTTCCTCATCTTGGGACCTAGATACCTGGACCTAAACTCTAGGTTACTTAGAGACCCAGGCGTCCCGGGCCCTAACAACTCCTTCAGAACCTTTGACCAAATAAGGGCAAAGTTGCTTCTCCTGCTTTGCCCGCCCCCTCCCTTCCCCTCTTAGCTTCTGCTTTTCCTGAAGGAGACTTCTGAGCATCCAAAGGCTCCCCACTTCATTCCACTCCACTTTCCTCACTGACTTTTGGCCCCCTTTATTTCCTGAGTTTGCTTTCCCTCTTAAACGAACTCTAAGTCTCCAGAGGAATATGCTTTCTGTTCATATTACCATTCTCTAGGTTGAGGATCCTGATCTTTTTGTGTACTAACTTCCAACAGTCAGTTGTAAGAGTTTCTCAGATTTCATGGATGAGTACAAAGCACCTACCATACACACCTTTCCTCCCCAGGGGATTCTAGCTCCCAAGAAGTGGAAAGCAGATGTGCCCTTGGAGAAAGTGGGGAACCTTGGTGTACTAATTTGATGAGTGCTTGGTTCCCTTTCCAGCCAGCTGAGGTTGGTGTCCTGGTTGGCAAAGACCGGTCAAGTATTTTAGTGAATGGGCTGACACTTGGGGGCCAGAAATGTTCTGTGATCCGGGACTCACTGCTGCAGGATGGGGAATTTACCATGGATCTTCGTACCAAGAGCACCGGGGGAGCCCCTACCTTCAACGTCACTATCACCATGACTGCCAAGAGTGAGTTTCTGAGTCTTAACCTTTCTGTAGCTCCAAGATCCCTAATGTATATCCTTTTGTGAAGCTTTTGGGTGCTTTTTCTGTGTGGTTTCCCAGTATGAAGGGATCAGACCAGCCTTCTCCCAGCCTGCTGGATATTGGGACATTGGATAGTCCCTGTTCTCAGTTCCTCATCTTCTGGTATAAAGAAGTTGAACTGTATTACCTGTTCAGTTGCTTCCTGCCTTGAGCCTTTTCAGATGAGAAACTTTTTTAGGAGGTGGTAAACTATTGGTAGTTAGCACTTAGCTGTGCTGTTGTCTTTTGAGCCCTTTTGTTAAAACTTGGAGGCTCATCTATATCCATTTCTAGCCTGAACGTGAGTCAAGTCTATAAGCCTTTGACCCCTAAATTTTAGTGTTGTTCTGCTTCCAGTCTTTTAGCTTTTTTTTTCTTCCCCCTTTTGAAAAGGCCTATTGTTTCAGGGTGACTGACAGCCTGCCTGTGCGTTGGGGGGGGGGAGGTTGGGAGAG